GACCTAGCTCCCCACCACCTTTGCCACTAAGACCTGCCCGCACCAATATCACCTCTGATGTCTTTACGCATACTCGCTTACAACCTACAAAATCGTCAAGCCATCAGTCGAACACCACTTCCTCAAACCTACATACTACTGTAATCAGCACGATGCCACAAGCCTTAGGTTCCAATAGCGCTTCTTGCGTCATGCCCGCTAGAACCATGTTTTCCTCTAATTCTCTGGCCATGTCCTCTTCTGCAACCACGACCGTTCGAGATTGCATTATTCTTTTAGCAAACTCACCCATTCCATCTGAACTTGCTCCAGTCAGGGAAACATTTTCCTCGCCCACACCACCACCGTCAGCAAATTCGCAAGCGTCATTGCCGCCTCCTTTGCCTCCAAAGGCATCGACTTTTTCTGGCCTTTCCAGTCCGGTGGTGACTGTCCTGCCTCGATTAACTGCCCTTGTCTCTCAAACAACTCACCCAATACATCTTTCTTCGAAGGAGGATATTCCAAATGCGGTGGCTGAGACAGGGGCAGTGACAAGTAGCAGTTTACTTAGGGGCTTTCATATCGCTGAGTCCTTTGGAATGCCCCCGCCATTGCCACCCAGACGTCGGGTGCAGCCTTGATTTTTCAATCTCATCACTACCGTGTGAATAATATTTCCTCTTATGTTTGTTGTTTTTTATTTCTTTCTTTCATCTAGTCTTGCTGCAATCTTATTTAGTGGCGATAACCCATCTTACTTTCCAATTGAACATTCATAAGCTAATCATGGTTCTGGTGAGCACATATTATCATCACAACTAAACGTATCATCAATTATGCTGCCAACTACTTTCCATTAAAGGTAGTTGGTTTTAGTTAGCATTTTTTTCATGAGGCTATTACAAGCTGCTTTTACTTCACTCATGCCGCATCTGCATTTTTCAAGTCTGCTGAACTCCTTAGTTATCCTTTTCAACTTATATTTCTCAATATTTTATTGAAATATTCATTTTCAGGTTGCTATTTCGATTGATAGTGTAAAATGGAGCTTATTGAAGACTTGTCACTGGATAAACTTACGAGAACCATCATGCTATTTCTTCCCGTTTTCTGTGCACTATCTTGGTTCACGATTTCTTTCTTCTATATAGAGCGAGCTCTGTTTCTTTTTTTTTATATTGTTCATCCAATATTTCTCAATCTCATTATCTTTTCATCTGCTCATAAGCATGCACACCTATCAGTTCCTACTCTACTTTAGTTCAAGTTTAATTGTACTAGTCATTCCTATTCACGCTCTGCCCTTATTTAGTTACTTTGGAGCAATAATTAGTTCAGGGCGAGTTTTACTGCGCCAAAGTATTTAACTGGAGACAACCAGGTCTGTGAACTCCAGATTTACTTCACCCTCATCAATAACTTACTTTCTACGAGTTTTAAAATAAAAAATTCAATATAGTTCGAC